TATTGGCACATACCTGTATTCCCAACACTTGGGAGTATGAGGCAGAAGGATCGCCACGAGTTCAAGACCAGCCTGAGCTACATAGTGAGTTCAAAGCCAGCTTGAACTACAAAGCAAGACCCTGTCACAAACAAACAAATGAAGAGTGTATGGGTTGGGAGATCTTGTTTACTTCACTTTCTTGTCTACAAAATAGAAATAACAATATTCACCACACAGAGTAGTTAAGAGGAAAAACACAGTGTCAGGGACATCATAGATACTTAGTAAATATAGGTAGCTTTCCCCCTTAATCCCCCTCCCTTTTTTGTACTGGGGATTGACCCTAGGGCCTTTGCACTGAGCTACATTCCCAGCCTTTTTTTGGATTTTGAGACAAGGTCTCGCTAAGTCACTAAATTGCCCAGGCTGGGTTTAAACATGATCCACCTGCCTCACCCACAGAGTGCTGGGATTATAGGCCTGTGTCACCACTCTCGACTCCTACTAGGTTATTTCTACACATGTACTCTACTTTGACTTTGAGCAGTCACAGTAAGTTTCACTCCCCTCCCGCCCTTCCTCCTTCCCACCCTCCCTTCTTCCCTTCTTTCCTTCCTTCTTTCCTTCCTTCCTTCCTTCCAGTACTGGATATTCAACCTAGGGGCTTCACACTGAGCTCCATCCTCAGTCCTTTTAAAATTTAAGTTTTTATTTTTATTTTGAGACAAGATCTTGGTAAGTTTCCTAGGCTGGATTTGAACTTGTGATCCTTTTGTCTCTAATTACAGGAATGTGAAAGATTTATGGAAAAGTAATGGGTCAAAATGGCATAAAAATATATGCTCATGTAGATCTGAAGACTTATTATGCTTTCAGTTTAGAAATTTTTCCTGGAACTCAGCCATCAGGTCCTTATTTGTGTAGTAATAAATCAAATGGTGTTGTGAACATACTTGTTGCCTCCATCTCTCAAACTAATTGGAATGTGACATTCAGCAGGTGGCTTACCAGTTTCTAATCAGTGTTACATTTCCTCTTTTTTTTTTTGTAATGGGGATTGAACTCGGGTCCTTCTGCTTGCAAGGCAGGAGGTGGAACCACTGAGCTAAATCCCTGGCCCCTAGTCAATGTTCTGTTTGCTAACAGAGCACAAGTTGACCACTGCAGGAACTATATGCAAGAACAAAGCAGAAATTCCCAATGAAGTGTTGCAATTTTAAAACAGAGAATTGTATAGTACCATCTTTGGATTTCAGAAAGATTTACATTAGCCTTGTATATAGCAAAGAAAAGCAAACTGGTTCTGCTGATGTCAACCTTGCACCGTGATGGAAGTATTAATAAGGAAATCTTGACAAAAAGGAAACTTTATACAACAAAACCAAAGGTGGAGTAGATGTTGTTAATGAGTTATGCAGTAACTGTGATGTCACTTGAAACACAAAGCATTGGCCAGCGACTGTGTTTTACTCCATCCTAAACATGTGTGGCATAAATAGTTTGATAGTTTACAAAGATAATAATAAGTGCAAAATACCACAGATACATTTCCTTAGAGGGTTGGGACTGGAACTCATGAGAGATTATTTATAGCAGAGGAAAAACAGAATGATTCTGCCCAGGTAACTATGCAAAAGAATTATGGAGCACACTGGTGAGCTGATAGGTGAACAAGCAGGCACAGTGTCCCAAAGACCTGCTATGACAACAGGAAAACCAAAAAGATGTCAACTGTGCCATACAAGAAAGGACAGGAAAACGAAACATACATGCTATCAGTGTAAGCAATACTTCTGTATGGAACATGCAATTTTCATGTGTGAAGACTGCCTTGGGTGTGACAGTTGAAGCAAAGATTATTTTTATTGTAGAGTTCTATTGGTATTGTCATTGTAGTTCACATAGGTTTTTATTTCTGATGTTATCTTTTAGGTTTTGTAAGCAACAGCCGATGTGAAAATGTTAATGTTTAAGTACTCATTACACATTTGATATTTTATTGATATCTGATTTCCCTGCTAAGTGCCCATTATATAAGATAATAGGAAGCTCCTGGCAAAACAGTAAGAGAAGAGATGACAAGAATGACCTGCCACATAGAAAAGGAAGGCCAAGCACATATGCTGTCAGTGTAAGTGAGGCATGTGCATGGAACATACAGTTGTCATATGTAAAGATTGCCTTGGGTGTGACAGTTGAAACAAAGATTATTTCTGTGGTAGACTTTTGTTTGTGTTTACATTGCAGTTCACATAGGTTTTTATTTCTGATGTTATCTCTTAGGTTTTATAAGCAAGTACACAGCTGATGTGAAAATGATGATGTCTATTCTAAGCACTCATTACATATTTGATATTTTATTGATACCTTATTTTCTTGTTTATGTGTGATAATTGAAGTAAAGATTTTTTTGTAGAGTGCTTTTGGTATTTTCATTGTAGTTCACATAGGGATTTATTTCTGATTTTTTTTAGGTTTTGTAAGCAGGTACACAGCTGATGTGAAAATGTTGATGTTTATTCTAAACACAATACATATTAATAATTTAATACTTCGTTGTATTGATATTTTATGTTCCTATTAACTACACATTGTATAATATAATGACCTCTGGATAAAACAGGAAGACCAGTGAGATGTGAAATGTGTCCTACAAAAAAGGCCAGGAAAGCAAAACACACATGCTGTTGGTGTAAGCAATATATGTGTTTGGAATGTGCTGTTATCATGTGTGAAGACTGCCTTAGGTGTGATAATTGAAGTAAAGATTTTTTTTTTTATAGGGTGCTATTGGTATTTTCATTGTAGTTCATGTAGGGATTTCTGTTGTTCTTTTTTAGACTTTGTACAACAAAAAACAGTTGATATTGAAAATTTTGATGCTTTTTTAAAAACAATAAATATTAAAAATGCAATACTTTCCTGTTAAGCACTCATTGTTTAATAGAATAAAATTCAGAAAATTAAAGTTAATAATCAATGGAAATATTCTAAAGAATAAATGTGGGTTTGACACATCCATGTTTCTGTAACTTTACTACAAAAAATGAAGCATTATCTGAATGAGCTATGCCTGTATTTAAAGTGGTGGGGATAGTGAGAGAGGGAAAGGGAAGAAAGAAGAGGCCCCAGCACTGTAATTATGATCAGTTATACTTTGTGATTTAAAAAAAAAAAATTTAAGTTTTTTTTTGGGGGGGTTGTTTTTGAGGTTTTTGGAACCAGAGTCTCTTTACGCAACTTAGGCTGTCCTTGAACTTAATGATCCCCTGCTTCACCCTCTCCAGTGCTGGGATTACAGGTATGCAATACCACACTAGGTTCAGTTGTTCTTCATTTTAGACATTAGAATAGATTTAAGGTTAGCCTTCTAAAATCAATCTCACTTGAATTTGTATAATTTTCTTAATGGGAGAGAAAAGGATAGGTTGGAAACTACCTGAGAGAGTGAAGGATGAAGGAGTAGAGGGAAGATTCAGAGATCAATATGGTCTCCAGTTTATTTCTAGAGTATAGTATGCCCAATATGGATGTGTCTCACCCTTAATGTCCATAGTGGAGATTAAAGGTTGAGAGCTTCCTCTGCACAGGGTTAAGTTCATGGTGATTTGAAGTTTCTAATAATCTTGTCTTTTGTCTACCTATCTTCAGTATCCATAGTCATACTATGTTTCTATGCTCACTTCGGTAGCATATATACATACTACTCCCTTCCAATCTCTGTGTCTGCTGTTTCCTATCATCCTAGTCCTAAGTACATAATTTCCCTTTTCAGTGACTAGCAAACAAATCTCTTTGACATGAAGAATTGATCTTATTTTCTTTACAGCCCTTTTAAGAAAACATTTGGCTGTTTGGTTACCAATCTTATTTTTGTTTGAGGAGACAAATACAGCTGCATGATCATCAGATAAAACAAAGCTTCAGGGATCCGAAAGTACTACAGGGAACAAGGAAATAATTGAAAATGTCTTTCCCAGATCTGTTTTAATATGTAGTTAAAATATGCTTTCTAAAAGTCCGATAAGGCACTCTGTAAAGTGTATTCTTTCTTAACCTCAAAGCTTGATATTATTACTATTAATTTATTTTTGATTTTCTGAGAGAAAAATCTCACTATGTATTTCAGACTGGCCTTAAACTAACTGTGTAGCCCAGGCTGGCCTAGAACTCACAGTGATCTTCCTATCTCAGCTTCCTGAGTATTGGGATTACAGGCATACACCACTATGCCTGACAGCTTGCTATTATTTAAGAGAATGATTTATTACTGAAGGAAATAGAAATTGAGTTAATGGAATTATTTTGGTTTTTTGAATTATAGTTTCTGTGGAATAGTTAATAATGTTAAGTTGTATTTAGAACCATTGATAATCAGAAATAGATTAGAAATGTTTTAAGTCCCACTGTAATTTCCTAGTCTATAAATTGATTTATGCTGTGATTCAGTTTGTCTTCTGTGTACACATAGTAAAAAATAGTAGTTTCTGTATCCATCAATATTAATCTTTTATTGCCCTGATGTAGAGTTTTTACTTTAGATTTGAGAAAATTAAATGACAAATTAATTGCAGCTAAAAACATACACCAGCCATCCTAATGCTGCTACTAAAAACCCAAAACAAAACAAAACAAAAAAATAAACCTACCCAAATTAAAAAGCTAAACAAGGCTGGGGATTTAGCTCAGTAGTGCCACTGCCTGCCTTGCAAGCGCAAGGTCCTGAGTTCGATCCCTGGTACCAAAAATAAAAAAGGTAAAACAAAAAACCTTGCAACAAATCTTTGACACTCCGTCTTTCATCTGCCAGTGGGAACCACTTAGCTAGCTGTGAAAGATATTTTACACGTATCTTACAGACTTCTTTATTTGCCAGAATGTAATAAAAAAAAATCCTGAGAACCAACAAGTACATAAAACATCACATACTATCAACTTATATACTGCATGTTATTCTGAAACTACATAGTTGTCTTCCTAATGAAAAACTTTTATTTGCTTTTTCCCTTCTTTTATAGGAATATATATGTCCCAGATGTGAATCGGGGTTTATTGAAGAAGTGACAGATGATTCCAGGTATTGTACAAGCTAATGAATAAATCAGACATTCTTTTATAAAGCTGTTTTCTGTAGTATCAACTGAATGAACTCGAAGGAGTTTGTTTTCTAAATTTGATGAAAGGGAATACATATGAGTGTGAGTATGCACGTGTGTGCACACACAAGTGAGGGCAGAAGATGGGAGAAGGAAGGGCAAGAAAAGAGAATTTGGAAAGTCATATGAGAATGGGTATGATGAGATCCACAGCTTCTGATTATATCATTTCTTGGGGACCTCTATACCCATATCAGAGTAAATCTGGTAAGTCTTCATTTATTTTCTCGGACTTCAGGAATCTCTTAGATTATTGGTTAGTTTTCAGTGACCACTTTGTTTCTGAAGGTTAAATTGCTATCATACATCTTTGGTGGGCTACGGAGTGACTTCTGATAAGACTTTAAGGAAGTAAAGATGTTCTAGCTAGCAAAACTGTGTTGTTACTCTTATGAAGCCTTAGAATCTTTGTTCTTGTTAAGGTTGTTGCTGTCAAATTTTTACTATCTTGCCCACTGTGTATTAATATTTGAATTTATAATACTTGAAATTTGTTCTCATTGGCATCAGTAGAGATATAAAAACAATTATAAAGTAACATTGATTTTGGTATTGGCATTTTCTTTTGCTAACCCCGATGGCACATTTGTTTTTTGGGGGCTGTCTGGTTAAACAATCCAAGAAATACCAACTGGTTACAATAATCTTAGAGTGACTAGGGGATTCTAATGGCTATAGTAGATAATTCCTTTACTATTGCAGAATCTAAATTTGAAGGTTCATTCTACAACCAGGAAAACTACACATTATACAGTATGTACTGTTAGTTTTACTTTATTAATGATTGGTGACTATATGTGTAAATGAGCTGGAGCTTCTGGGGCAATGTATGGCATGGGATTCAGTTTGGTATAAACACTTAAATGTTGGTATAACATGCTTGGTTTTTAAATAACAATGCAAATGCTAAACCTATAAGATTAACATGACAGCAAAATTAAATTAGCATGTGTGGATGGCATGCCGACTTGGTACAGTGTAGCTTTTTTATTTGTGCTATCATAATTGCACTAAATACTTATTTCAGGCACTTTCACACTGCATGTGTTAAATAAAGATATTGATTGTAGGGGAATAATTAATGGGCTTATTTTTTTCTAAGTAAGAAACTAATCTCGGTTTCTTTAGGCAGATAGTACTTTTTTACAAAATACAGGTACAGGTGTGATGGCACACACCTGTAATCCCAGCACTTGGGAAGCTGAGGCAAGAGGATTGATTGTGAGTTGGGGTCAGCCTGGGCTACGTGATGAATCTGAGGTCAGCTGCCTATATAACAAGACCATGTCTCAAAAACAAAACAAAATACAGTTATAAATGAGTGTGATGGTTAATTGCAAAATGCATCTTTGTGAGGCACAGGGCTGTGAATTTTATGGATCTTGTTCTTATTTGACCTAATTCTTTTATTTGTGCCCTTATCGGTCAAAGATTGTTCTGTTTAGGGACTATTGGTAACAACTACTCAAATGTAAAGATTGTATTTTGAAAGACATCAGTGTTTTTTCTCTTAAATTAGTGTCTTAGAGGCAGCATGATATTTCCTTCTACAAAATTTGTATTTCCTAATTTGAACTTAGCAACTACAGTGGTTAGTAGTGGATGGGAAAAATAAGAGAAAGTCTTTGTATATAAATTTGAGGTAATGGGACACATCTGCTACTAAACATACATGTAGAGAGGCACTTTGTAAATTTTCTTAAGCTTTGTAAAGTTTCTCAGAACGTTGAGGTTATTTTTATTATCCATTTATAACTAGTGCTATCACTGAAAATGCAAAGGAATTTTAAGGAAAGGGAATGTTGAAGGAGTTACAAGGGGACCAGAACCCTAAAAGATAAAAGTTGATGGTTTGCGTACTAATATTTGAATTCTTGAAACCACACAGTAAAGATAGGAAGGAAGAGGGCTGGAGATGTGGCGCCATGCCTTCCTGGCAAGCGCTAGGTCCTGAGTTTGATTCCCAGTACCAAAACAAAAGATAGGAAAGAAGAGCCTTGGAAGCTTGTCAGGCTTGGGCAATAAAATGAATATACAGCCTTGCAAGTTTGTTTTTTATGATGTCTGCTAGTTCAGTTAGTTGTGGCATAAATGTTTAGGTACTTTTGGAGTTGCTATGGAATTGAAATGATTTTTACAAAAGCATTTTTAATTTCTGAAACAAACACAAGTGGTAATGGTTTCTAGTCAAACAATAAGGCCTCAGAATGATTCCATAAAGAATGGCATTAGATTTTGCTTTTGGTTTAACCAGGTTGTGTTTATTTCCTCAATGAGCTCCGTGCAGTGCTTGGATTGGTATTGTAATCCTTCAGATAAAAGCTGTTTGTAGTTTGTGGGTTTTGTATCGTTGAGTGTTTTTATGTATGTATGTTTGTACATTTATATGTTTTTCTTAAAGTGTTACTCAGCAGTTCTTGTGATTCTTTCCATCCTCTTTTTCTCCCTTTTTTAACCACTTTCTTCTCTTCACAAATTTCATAGAAACAGTGGGATTTAATACTTTTCCTGCTCTTAGGATTTTTGGGAATAAGTAGTTATTTTATCATTTATATATGTGACAGTATTTCAGGTTTTATTTTGAGTTATCAATATAGGATATTTTATTGCGGAGTTTTCAAAGGTAATGGGTGTGCTCTAATTTCCAACACATTATACATACTCTAAATATTTAATTTGAGGCATTAATAAAATACAGCTTTTGCTCTTTGAATTTATACTTATGAAAGGAGGGGAAAGAGTTGAAATGGATGAGGCTAATTCTAAGTGTTTACAATACAAGGTAGAATTTGGAATCAAAGAGTAGAGGAGTATAGAAGAGTCTCATTTGTTGGTGAGTTCAGAAGCGATTTAATGGAGGAGATAGCATTTGAGATTGGCCAAAAAGGTAGACAGGAAAATCAAAGTACTGTATAGGATAAATTATCAGAAGAAGAAATATTTATTTTGAACCCTTTTCTGATGTGCTAAACTCTGCACCAGACCCCTTATATTACTACATTTAATCATTCCCAAGAAATAACTTCTTTTCTCAAATGTGATCATGGAATGGTTGAATGGGTCTATTGTAAAATGTTGTTTTGTTTTCTTAGCCTCTGTGAGGATAAATGTTTTTCCTTTTCTGTTAGGTCAAATTTGAATTGTATTACTAGCTCAAGGTCCTTCTTCTTTCTTTGTGGTGCCCTCTCTCCAAATTTTCACTTGATTCACTTGAAATCCACTTGATTTTGTGGTTTATATTTTCTATAGATTAATTCACATGCCATTATTTATCATTTCCTTTGTAGGTGTTATGTTGGGATGAGTTGTTTTTCCTTATTGGGCTTTGTTGTCATTATGCCATTCTATTTTTAGTTTCTGGGAAGGGAGCTTGTTCTGGGAATAGAATTACCACCATTCCTTTTTCTCTTTAGTTTTTTAGGTGGTGGCGGCAGCCGGATACACAATAGTACTTCGACACATTTTGCAGAGGTAAGTAAGTTTTCCTTTGGCTGAAGGAATTCTTTAGGAAGTTTGTGGGATTTTAAAATTGTGTCGGATAATCATTTCCAGGTGTGGCAAAACATCAGAATTTAACTGAATGTGTAAAAAAAGTTGGCAAGAGTAGCCTTTGGAAAGATCTGTTTTTAGAAGCTAGGACTTTGACATATTACTTTTGATTAGTAGAAAGTTATAGCTTCAGACTATACTGCTTTAAAACCCGGTAGTACTTTTAGTACTTTTTCTTCTTCTTCATTGTGTATATGGTATGAGATTAAAAACATGTGCTGTTTTTGAAATAACAGTGTTGTAGATTTTGCTTTGGTGGCATGACTACTAAGTAAAGAAAGAACAAGCCAGGATGAGCTGTTAAAACGTAGTCTTCAGTGTTGCAGTTGTAGTCTTCAGTATTAGTTTTTATAAGTTTGCTTCTCATCAACATGTTTGATTGGCAGATTAAGTATATTACTGCCTTTCAAATCCCAGTACAGGATCCATAATTCATTTCTACTTCTTTGTACAATATGGCATCCATATATTTTGAGAATAACAAAAATCTTACCTGATGTAAAATCTTACCTAATATAAAAGCAGGGCATTAGTCTGCATCCTTGAATACTATTTTAAATTAAATTCAAAGTACTTTTCTTTTTTCACTGTATCCATGGATCTAAAAATCTGTTTAGTTGTCTACCATTTTTAAGTGTGCATGTCAGTGGCATTAGGGACTAGAGCCCAGAGGGACAGATTAGTTCAGCCTACAACAAACAGTGGTTTGCTTTTGTTTCTGAATGTGTGCCCTGTATTGTCACACAGCTTGCTGGGCTCTAGAATGCTGATAGATGTTAAAAGTAAACAAGTTAAATCCCATAATCAGAATTCCTTTGTGTTTCAGGTTCACATTAATCTTTTTCAGAGGTAGCTGAAGAGCCTAGAGAGTTAGCCAAATAGTTTGATATTTATTTTGTGTGTAAATTAGAACTATATTAGCAGTATATTTGGAAAGTGGTATTTAGTAAGAAGCCCATAAAACTCTAAAAGTCCTGTCTTATTAAGGGTATTTTCTTTTGCTTAGGGTCTATGGCATTTCCTAATATCTAGTTTAAAGTTTTTTTGCTAAGTCTGATCTGCGTTGGTAGAGATTGATTAGAATGTAATTCCAGACGGATTATTATGTCTTTGAACTCCCATTTTTATGTTCTCATTTTGATGAACTAAAAAATAATTATTTCAGTATTGTTCTGCTTCAGAGGCCCAGAAGATTTTCTGATTTCAACATTTCCCCTCATGTGTACAATTGGTGATGATCAGTTTCTGATTTTGCATATGCCGAAGTAACTTCATTTGATTTAAGTATTAGTTTTCTTTTAGGAAATGGTAATAGGTTGGTCTGTCAGTTTTGTAAGAATGACTCACTAGGAAGAGATGCATTGAGTAAGAGGAAAATAAATAAAGTCAGTTTCCTAACTTTAGTAATGCTAAATCTGATGGTGATGGCATGAGCTATACTTCGGTGTCAAAGTAATTTTGCTGAGTCATAGCTGGTGACTTCATGTTCTTATTCAGTGACAAAGGGCACTCTCTCTGTAGAATTCTTGTTGTCATGGCTCAATATGTAAATTTTCTCCTTTTGAAATGATATATTTAAAAAAATTAAAAATTTTTTGGGGGGTGTTTTGAGACAGGGTCTCTATGTAGCCCAGGTGGACCTCAAACTCAGGGCAGTCCTCCTGCCTCAGCCTCCTGAGTGCTGAGATTACAGGCATATGCCACCATACCCATATTTTGCATTTTAAAATTAGAAAAATCTATCTTTGTAATATTACAGAAGTTGCCAGGGATTTTGAAAAATTAGCTGAAAAATATATAATCAATGTTTTTATGCATAACACTGTGCTAGAAGTAGGGGCAAGGAGCAATATCATGGTTGCCTTCAAGGACCTTATAATTTAGTTGGAAAACAAGCGCAAACATATGAAACAAAACTAGAGTGTTCAGAGAGTATAATAAATTATTCTGGTGTTTATATAACAAGTACATTTGAAGGAAGAGCCATTCAGAAGTGATTAAGAAGAGCACAGCATCTAGCCAAATTACTTGATTACAAGTCCTGGGTTTGCCAGTTACTGTGTAATCTAAACAAAATTACATAGAACCTCTGTTCCTTTGTTTCCTTGGGAAAATAATGAAGGAAGCAGGGCACAATGTCACAAGCCTCTAATCCCAGCACTCAGGAGGCTGAGGCAGGAGGATTGCTGTAGTTCAAGGCCAGCCTGGACTAAATAGTGAGTTCAAGGCAGGCCTAAACTGCACAGTGAGACCCTGTCTCTAAATAAATAAATAAGGAAGGAAGGGGAAAAATAGTAACACCTCATACGGATGCTGTAAAGATTAAATGAGTTAATATATGCTAAATGTGCAGCTCCAGTGTGTCTGCTGTATGGTGAGTGCTTAATAAATTTTAGCTATTTTGAAGACTTCATAGAAAAGGTAAAATTTGCATAGAGCCTTATAGAGGACGTGGAATTAGGTAAGCAAAGATGTTAAAAAACTAGGCCATCCGTCCCACTGCTCCCAGCCCAGAGGAAGGGCCTTCCAGGCCACCTGCCATCCCACAGCTCCCAGCTCAGAGGAGGTGAGCAGCACTCCCCCCCTCCCCCCCCTGGGTTGAAATGAGAAGATGCATAGTAAACAAGTCTCAAAACCAGACTTCCAGATCACCTACAGCAACCCCAAAGGGAAATGAGATGAAACACTCTGATACTCAACCACCTGAACTCCCTGAACTGGCAACAAAAGAGGATCTGGAAAAAATGAAATCAGAAATAATTTCTCATAACAGCAGAGATTGTGCTCATAGTGCAAGACATGATTAATAAATCTAGAGAGGAGCTGAGGAGCATGATGGAATCCCAACATAGAAAACAAATGGAATCCATAAAACAGATGCAAACAGATTTCCAGGAGATCAGAAACTCCACTGAAATTCTACACAGCAGAATGAGCGATGTGAGGACAAAATTTCAGATATAGAAGATAAGATTGCAGTTAGTGACCAGGAAAAGAAAAATTGCTTCAAAATTGTAAGGGATCACAAGAAATCAATCCAGCAGCTGCTAGACGGTGCACAGAAGAATAACATAAGACTGATTGGAGTCAAAGAAGAAACAGGAGAGAGTACAGATGACATAAAAAAATGTTCACAGAAGTAATGGCAGAAAACTTCCCAAG